GCGTCCCCCGCGCCGCCCCCACACCCACACAACGCGGCCGGGTCGGCTCGGACGCGGCTGAGCGGCGGGGGTGGAAAGCCCACGGCAGCCATGCCTGAGCACTGCGTGCTCGCGCTGGTGCAAGCACGCCATTGCAGGGCCCTGGGATCGCACAGGCAGGCGGGCGGACAGCCGGCGGGGCAGGGGAGGGGGCTGACCGCCAAACAGATCAGACACATTTAGAATGCAAAAATTATCTTTTGCCTTGTCGCGGATACAGTAAACAGAATTGGGGCATCGCTGTTCAGCCATGGTTTAAGGTCTGGCTGACAGGGGGCGATGGCGATGCACGGTGGGTTGCCTACATACAGGGGCTTTGTAGCACAAATTTGCCCACCTTTCAGAATCATGAAAATATGCCTTCTTTAAAAACACATGTTGCTTCATTCAATAAGATTTTTGTTTCTTGATTCAAATTAACTTCATTGCCCTCGTACATTTTTTCTTGGTGGAGGGAAAATTATTCTTGGCTCGAAGCTAACATTTTCTCGTCCGTTTCTTTAAGAGTAATTTTCTTGCCTACGTAAAACTTTTTTTGTGGGTGTAATGGGTCTCTGAGTAGAGTGAACTGAACCCGAGCCCCTTCCCTGAAATGTTGGTTCAGATGTTGCTAGTAACTGGAAGTGCTCCCGGGTGGAAGGAAGTGCAAACAAAGTATAGTTGAAACTATACTGCTCAAACTACAGTTGCAAGACTATGCCGGTTTGTGCAGCTGCTTCTCTATACAGAGTCCCCGAAAAACGCCATGTTCATTTTAACCCTTTGTCAATGTTTACCTAAGGACAAAAAGTTTTTGTTCCTTCGCGCCAAATCCTTTATTTAGGCCGTTACTATACGGATGTGCCGAAGGGCATCGATTTAGGGTTCAGGGTTCAGCCTACTTCTCTGACGTACGCCGGCCACGCGTGAGAGAAAGCGGCAGTGCGGCACCCCGAACCTAGAGAAGGCGCGGTATAAAGTCCGAATGGCAGAGCGGGCGATGCTCCACGAGTTGATTGCGTACTGAGGTTTGAAGCTCATATTTTCCACCTTTCAGACGGATCACGTGATGTGACTCGGGAGGGGGCGACCCACCCTCCCTCCCCTCTCCGTGGACCGCCCACCTGGCCTGGAGAGACTCACCCGCCACGCCTCTACCTAAGCACCAACCAACCTTCATCAGAGGCACGCATAATGGTATTCCGCTACAACACAATCGGAACCTAAAGAAGAAACGCATGACTGCTCGACCCAAGTTTCTGCGCGACTTTTGTCGCACAATTGCTTGACACCCTGAGTTTTGCCACCCTTTCCCTGCAAAGGGTCCAGGCCCAGCCTCGGTACGGTGACCTGTGCCTTGACACCCCTTGCCGGGGCCCGTCTGCAGGGTAGGGTGGCAAAAACACGAGATGTCGAGCGTAAACTGTTGAAACAGATCTTGCCCTAGTTCAAAATTCTCCATGAGAGTGGCTACCAGTCAAACTTTTGCTGTTTCAGGAAGGTGACTCACACTCAGTACGGCTTCTTGTGTTAAAGGAGCAATCGTGCTGAGTAATCAGTCGCGTGTGAGTCGTGTGAGGGCAGGAGGTCGAGCACCGCTGGAGGGAGCGCCCGGGGACCACAGGGGACTCCTCCCAAACACAAACCGGCCTGATCTGGAGAGTCGGCCCCGCCCCGCCAAGCCACGCCAAACCACACGAAGGCACGCCACGGCCTAAGACAAGACGAGTCGTGACGTCAGAAAACGGGGTTTTGGTAGAGATGACATGACAAAGGGCTGGACCGGGCAGGACACTGCTGTACCTCTGGTTGAGTTATGTTTAGGAAACGCTCAAGCGTAGTCAAGAAGCAACACAAAACTTCTATAACTGGCCGCAGAGGAGCCTCTCTCACAAGGTCGCCATGAGGATGCAGATTTTCACGAAACACAAGCATGATTTTCACGCCAGGGGGTGATTTTCACGCTCCGTCAGCTTCACAGTAGTCAGTACAAGATCGGTGTTTTCGTCACGTCTGGCGTGATAATCGCCCTCGCGTTTTGAAAACGAAACGCTGAATCTGGGGTGGACGACTTTTAGTTCAGGTTACTCTGTATGACTTTCTAGTTTAATAGTTTCGAGCGGTGCTATTGCACGTAACGCGAAATTACCCATTAAACCATTCCGTTACAGATACCATGAAGTGGAGTGCTGGGTACAAGAAAACTGAAATAAGAATGGTATAACAGGGCGACTTACGTTCACGGGTTCCCTACATTCTTCTTCTTCTTCTTCTTCTTCTTCTTCTTCTTCTTCTTCTTCTTCTTCTTCTTCTTCTTCTTCTTCTTCTTCCGCTTCTTCTTTTTCTCAGCTGAACAGGAACGGGTTATTCACAAAAAGAGTGTGAGGTAACTTTTTAGGACCCTGTCATTGAATGAAACCTCTTTTTTTTATATTTTAGATTTCTTTTATACTACCCACAACTAAAATAGACACAGTATAATGCCCGGGTACTAACTTGGGCTGTGTCAATTTAAGTTTTCCTGTCCGACAGCACGACAGCAGGACAGCACGACAGCACCTCCCCCGGACTGCCAAATTACAAGGGTATTTGACACTGGATCGAGAACGGACAACGAGAAGTAGTGAAGAAGTGACAGAACAAAGGCGAAAACACCAGTGCAGATGGTTCAGATTTAGGTCTGTACGAATTAGACTCGGCGTATAGGCTACACTATAATAAACAAAAGACAATAACAAAGGCTAAAATATCCCTACGTCCTAAGGTAAGACAAGTCGCCCGGGTTGCCCGGTCAAATACTTCCTTATGTGCTGTTTGCTTGCTTTTCGGATGTCTCATTCTTCCCCACGCACGTGTCTCATTTTTTCCCAAAATGCGTGTAAAGGAAGTGACGCGTATTATATCGTTTTCTACAAGCAATAGAGATTGCGTCATAAACTTTACGACGTGATTTCGTTCATGGGACTAAGTTTCATCGTCTAAAAGCAGTTTTATCGAAGACAAAAGTACATCAAGTTTCTCATTCTTCCCCGCCCTGAACCTAGTGGAAAGGGCCACTGGACTCATGTCACTGTCGCTACATCGTCGTAACGCGCTCACGTGAAAGGGGCGATCTACTCTGAAGGGGTGGTGCACCGCAGTTTCACTCGGGATGCTGCTCTTTCGTCGTGATGTCACACGATTGCAGGGGGTGGGCGGGGAGTGACTCGCGTATTTCTGTGTCGCTTTCGCTTGTTCGTGCAAGCGTGTTTTTCTTGCATTTCCTTTTTGTGATGTCTTTTGATGAAAAAGTGCCCCAAAGGGCGGTTTTTTGGCTGGTGTTTGGCGCGCTCCAGAGGCGCTTCTGATGAGTTTTGAAAATGCGCCAAATTGGCGCTCTGTGGGTGCTGCCTTTCTACCGGGGTACATATGCTTGGCGCCTTCTGCCGTAAGGTCGCAACGCAGTTAACTGTTTGTCTGCAAAGCTCAAAAAGACCTAGTAAGATAGCCTCCTCGCAGACCCGCTTTTGCCCCGCACGTGTAGGGCACGCGCACTGTGTGTGAGAGTGTGTCTGTGTTTCGTTAGAGCTCCGATAACACGGGGGTGAAGGTGAAAGAGCGCCCTGTGCCCTATGTAGGAATGTATCAAAAGCCCCTGAAAGAAGTCAGTGACACACTTCTGATAAAGTGTCTCCCCCATCCCCCTGGTGGCCGCAGGGCGCCCCCGCGCGGGTGGCCCAGGTGGCCCTAGGTGGCGCGGGCGCTGCGCTGTGCTCCGGCCGGGTGGCCCGGGGCCCGGGAGCGGGCCGGCGGCGGCCTGCTGGTGGGGGAGTAGGCCCCGGGCCGGCCCATGGCTGCCGTGGCGGCCCGCACCGCCTCGAGGCCAGCCCGGGCCAGCCCCGCCTGCACACAGCACAGCACAGCACAGTCGCGCAGCCATGGTCCGCGAGTCGACAGTCAGCAAGCCGAGCGCGGCCTCCTGCGCGATGTCACCAGCACGACGCCGTGGACGGGGAGGCGCGGCTGTCGCCATCCTGGCGCTGCCGGCACTGCTGCTGATGCTGCTGCTGCTCCTGCTGGCGGTGCGCGATGTGCACGCCGCGGCCAGGATCTTCGAGGACGACGCCCTCCTCGGCACCGACCTCACCGCCACCGACGTCAAGGAGGTCCGCGACAACCGGGTGCGGCCCGACACCGGCCCCGAGGTCCCCCGCATCGACTCCGAGCTGCTCCTGGTGCACGTGGTGAGTGGTCCTTGCGGTGCTGGACACTAAGTCGGCCTTCTCCGCCCCCCGGCTCGGTCGCCTCCCGGCCCGCCCCCTCCACGTCCACCCCTTATCTCCACGGCGAGGAGCAGTCATTGTTTAACTGGCATTGCTCCGCGAGCTGCGCATTGCACACCCCTCCACTTCACAACGTGACGAGGAGCGCGCACAGGTGCTCGGCTGAGCTCGGCGCAGGACGTGTCGCTATGGGTGCGAGATGGACCCGGGTCGGAGGCTCTGCGCCGCGCCGGCCGCGCCTGCCGGGGGCATTATGTCCCCGCCCCCGCCGCCCCCACCGGGTCCTGTGCGGTAATGCCCCGCAATCAGCATTCCTCAGAGGGACGCGATCGGAGCGGAGCGGGAGGGCACCGGCCGGAAGCGGCCAACACACAGGAGTCCGAGCGGACAACACTGAAGCGCGGCCGGGTGGGCTGATCTCACGGACAAACTGACTGATGAAATGGCTGACTGACTGACTGACTGACTGACTGACTGACTGACTGACTGATGAACTGACTGACTGATGAACTGACTGACTGATGAACTGACTGACTGATGAACTGACTGACTGGTGAACTGACTGACTGATGAACTGACTGTCTGATGAACTGACTGACTGACTGATGAACTGACTGACTGATGAACTGACTGATGAGCTGATGAACTGACTGGTGAACTGAAGTGACTGACGAGAAAGGGGATAAATGGATTCTATGGGTGGAATGATAGGACGAGCAAAGGCGGGAACTGGTTGTATAGTGTGATGTAGAACAAGTTTGTCATCAGCTGTCGATCAAGTGACGGAAAAATCCCTTTCATCGACAGCACCATCAGCTACCGCGATCCCGCTGCTGCTGCTGTCAGAACGCGATAGGAGCATTTCGACGATTTGCGTCTTCATCGCGATTTGACGATCAGGCAGGCAGGCAGCATGGCACCACCATTATTTAGAGACGACTCCACCCGACTTGTACCAAAAATTTGGCTTGATAGCCTTGTGTGCAGTTGAGCCTACTCATTTTCTTTGGGGGGTAACGGAGATAGGTGCAATATTGCATTGGGTGGAGGGGGCAGCTTCAACGATGTTGTTGAGATACCGAGCTCCTAGAGATGATTAGTCACTTTTATAACATTCAAGACATTTTTGTGTGTCCGATTACCTTTACTTTCAAGTTGGGCCACAAAAGTGTGTGTATGTCGCACACTGTCGGGGATGTGAATCCCCGACTTAAGGGAGTAAAGGTGTGAATTTGCCTTTGAAATTTACACACTTGTGCCTTTATGTGCACAAATGGCGTTTACACACCTACAAATGTGCGACATTCACACACTTGTGCCCCGGCGTGGGTTTGCAATGGGTTTAGAGTATCGCGGCTGGACGCGGCGCCTTATGACCACAATTGAGCAGGCAACCCGGCCGGTACAGTATGGGCCACAAGGGACATCAGGCCTGTATGGGCCACTTTGTGTTTTCGGCAGGTGATACAGTACAGTCACGGACCGCCGAGCGAACGAAGTGGCCGAGGTCCTCGCTATAGCTTTTTCAGTTATTTTAACCCACACACGTTAAAGGAACTATTAATCTCATCACGAACTCTGTTTTACGGGCATCCTTGCTGCTAGCCGTCGTGGCGTCTGTTGAAAACAAATGAATAAGGCAAAAGGTAAATAAATAAAAGAAGGAAAATGTACATGTCTGCCTTTTTGCCATTTGATCGTCGAATCGTCTGAGCGGTTGGAATCGCACACGGTGCGTGTTTCATAGTTGATTGACGGATTCGTTACGAGCCAACTACTTAATTGCGACACGGCATGCCGCGAGCAAAAAGAGGAATTAAAAGTTAGCAGTGAAACAAAATCTCGGGGAACCTGAGCAACGCGTAGCCGAGACGTGTCAGCACGCTATCGCACGGTGCCGGGGCGTGATGTCTTTTATCGGCTTTATATTTATGCCTCGCGCACGGGCCGCCGAAAAGTAAGAGG